TGAATCGACTGTAATGGGTAAAGGTGCTTAGTGAATCACAAAAGTCTGACAGACCGTCGTCAGATCGATCTACAAAACGATGCAAGAGGGATAAGTACAGTATTTTATATAGTATATAATATATAATACATAGCGATTAACCGATGGACATTCAGCAGCAGAGAATTTCCCTGTACTTTTGTTCACCGAAGTGTTTGAGTCACTAAATCATAACCAATGAGTCACGTTTACGAAATACCTATTTAACGACAACTGACTGATAAAGACGCTCTAAATCCCCTGACCGAATGATGATTGTAATCGCAAGTCTACGTACAAAAGTAGAATGTCCTGCCATAACTAGAATTGATTAGCCAAGTAGACCTACTCGGATTAGTTTTAGCCTCGAGATATTACAGAATGACTAAAAATCGATCGTCAACTATTTCAGCTGTCATGTAAACCTTCCATTGTTCTCTGAATTAAAATTCTAATCTGTGAAAGTATAGGCCGAGTCTGTCTATTGACCAGTCGTAGATATGCAGATTATACCATAAAAAGGAATTACGGATAAATTATAATACCCGTGTGACAGATTTACATGCTCTAATGCTGCTGAGAAATTTATTTACACTTTCAGTTGACGAGCGAAGCACAGCGAATCAGGGATCACCCATGTGTGCTGAATAAAGACCTCGAAACCTCAGTTGACGAGCGAACGTATCTTTCCACGTGATCCGTACGTCATAGTCGAAGATAACCACGCGTGGCAAGCGAGCGCCTCGGAATCGCACACTTTATGAATGTCGCCTAATCATTAAAAATCCAAAGAATAATTTTTTCGGGAGCAAAACCGACCCTAGTGAAGCAACATCTTAAATTGCGGTGAATCAGGGATCTTACGCATGAAAGACATCTGTTCAGTTGGTGAAGAATAGCCACTTGGGCATTTTCGGTACTTGTAGTCCTCGGAAATATTTCCAACACGTTCCTAAATTGCAAAAGGCAAATAAAAGTCATGAGTAAAAATATATTATAAGCTCAAAAAATATACCAGCATACATACCTCTAACGCGACTAAATGACTTATTGCGGACTCAACTAACGGGATAGTAGTCTTGTCAGTCACAAGTCTCGTTGTTAGGAATGGCCATGAGCGATATAGACCATCATATTTTAAGTCCATAAAGAAAGACTCCATCAATTCGCCTGGTTATTATAAAAGATTAATTAAATGTATTGAAACAAAACTCGTAGTTTCAAGCATGTACAGTATACCCATGTTTAGAAATATTCCGGCTTCGCCCGGACCCCTCTTAGTGTTAAGTTGCTGATTTATCGATTTTCGAGCTTTTAGTTGAACTTTTAATCTGTCTTGTTTTCGTTGTAGGGGTGTGTGGCCTAATGGCTTGATCTCCGAGTTTAATATCGCTACATCGTTCACGGTACATGAGAGATCCGGTCTTTTCTTGGAACCCTTGTTAGCACGGTTTAGTCGAAGATCATATTCCTTCTCAGAACCAGAAAATAATGGTCGACTAATAGGGTAAAGAAACATGCAAGCATGTTCTTCTTCCGAGAGTTTTGGTGGTGCAACTTCTGGAACACAACCAGATCTGTAAGAAACATTATCTGTTAGTATGTAATGAATTTATGAATCATGAATGATAATTATTAGACTTACAAGTCATTGAATATGCAGGCTACCGCTCGGCTTAAGTTCGAACTTCCACCATTCATAAAAAAATCCCCATTAATAAAATTTTTGCGAGTTGCATCGTGAAGAGACGATGAAATCTCGGGTGAAAGTGGTGATTCATTTAATATATAAGGGTTGGACATTATTATATCTTTCCACTCTCTCTTTGTAAAATTGGGGTACGGGCACGGAGAAGAAAGCACAATGATCGATGACAACGCTCTGAATACAATGAGAAAAAAAGATTATTAATATATTCTGATATAAATATTTTTTGGAACACTTACAAAACTTCATAGAGATTATCATATGTTAAGCCTTCCTTCTCCGCCCTCTTGATAACTTCTTTTTGATAATGTCGGAACCGATCGGTCACGTTGATGCAACCAACTTCCCACTTAAAAACAGAATCCAATTCCAAAATATGTAAAGTAAAAGAATAAAAATTGGCATGTATCATACCTTGCAGGTTGATTCTCGCTCTAATTCTATTGATAGACTTGATAGGTCAAACTTGATTTCTTCGTCGTCATCAGGAACTTCATCACTCCCACCAGAGGAGGAAAAGTCGGAGGAAGACTTCTCGCTATTTCTTGATTGCGGATGCTTCACGCTACAAGTACTCTTTATGGTCTTTTTTGCCTAAATATAGAAATGTACATGAGCTTTTACATTCTTGTAGCTTTTACCACCTATAATTTTTTACCTTTTTGCGTGTAGAAACGTCTTCTATTTCCTTTCCTCGTTTACCGGGAGTTGGAAAATCTACACCTTCATTTAAAATTTCTTGTAAATGTGCATACTGTTCGCAGAAAAAAAGCATTGGGGCAAGTAGAACTTTGATATTAAACATATTTTCAATGAAAATGCAAATTGCTGCGGCCTCATGAATTGGAATTGCTATCATACCTCTTCCTCGAATACTAAAGGAAAAAATCCTGAATCATCATTTTCGCGTGCTTCAGACTCGACCTGGAAAAAATTTTCACATTAGCAATGATTCAGTCTTTTGATTGCTATGAATAGTCAGAATATCGTATTATCCGAACTGTGCCTCGTCATCCGCTTCGTTGGAACCCCGTTCATAGCCATTACGAATACTCTCTCCATGAAACTGTACTGACGTTTGAAGAGTGTGGAGACCTTCTTTGTCTGTCACTAACTTCGTTTCAATCTATGATTTTTTAGAAACATTAATAAATATAATAAAATGAGATGCGCACAAACTCTACCTACTTTCATGCGATCAAGAATAATCGCTGCCCAATACAAACGGTTACTCTCAGAATTAACCTCAAAATTAAACGTTAGAAATCAAACATCATTGGAACAAGATAAACATATCAACATAAACATGAGAAGACTCGCAACCAATGACAACTAGGTAGTCAGCTAATGCTCCTAAATCAGGTAGTCAGCTGTTTAGGAGTGCCATCATTGGTCACTCGAGATAATGACAACTAGGTAGTCAGCTAATGCTCCAAATCAGGTAGTCAGCTGTTTGGAGTGTTATCATTACCCCTCGAAAAAACACCGGGAAAATATACCTTTGTTTGAAGATCAATCTTCTCGTTTCGTTCTTGGACTGCCCGTATAAACCTCCTCGTCCACGCTCCATCAAGAGCACGCCAGTCGTGGTGGAATGGAGGGGCTTTAAGAATTTTATCACGGTAAAGCAACAGAAAATGGGAAAGGGACCACTCTTCCGGTTTGTGACTATCTAAGTATTCAAGAAGCTCTGCAAGTCAAAGTAGAAGAAATATAAAATTAATAACGCAGGATAAAAGTGTTATTTAACGCGTTCAAAAAAATATTGCCTTCATGTCCTTGATAATAATTATTGACTTGTGACATGATACTGTGGGAGGGCGAGTTGCGCGCATCAATTAATCAGTGATCTATTTAAAATTTTTACGATTATCACGTGCCAGAGGTAGGGTGTTTTTTGATAGATCGGCAGCACCCAAAATTTAGGATAGATCTGTAAGCACCCCAAATTTTGGTTTCGTTTTTGATACATCTGCGACAAAGTCACGTTTTCGACAATCCCCGGAAAATTCTCCGATGCTCTACACTATGACTATACGTGAACGTTAATCCGAACTTTGAAGCGACGACTAACGGTAATAGGAAGTAAATAAACTGAACTAATATGCAAAATTTTTTCCTTTCAGCAAAAAGCCAACTCACTTCGGTCTCAACCGTTCTGGCTAACGTAATTATAACAAAGCCATTATTTGGCTTCATAATCCTGGCCGGCCTTTATCTTGTCCACAAATAATAATCTATGGTTTCGATGTTATTGTCTATTTACATATAAATAATTAACAGAACTATGGCAGACCTCAAGGAAGAGTTTACGTCTAACATTTACAAGAGCTTTGGTATCTATTATGTTCGCATATAATCGTAGTCATTATGTGCACATATGGTCATGACGTTTACATATAGTCATACACAGTAAGATGACCTTCGACAAGATGAAGTTGGTCTAATATGATGCATTTTCCCGAATCAAGTCAGTTACGTTCTCGATGAAGGCGAAATTATTGGCAAAGGTCCTAATGGTACCTTGAGCATGGTATTCGATGGAATTAAGAGATCGAATAAAGGCGAAAAGCATCTAAAGATTACTTGTGATAACGCGGGCGGACAGAATAAAAATAATGCTACCATTTGATTTTATATTCAGTAATCTGCGGCTATTATGAAAGTATCGAATTAAATTTTATGGTTACCTGGACATACTAAGTTCAAATGTGATGGTAATTTTGGATTAATAAAAAAATTCTATAAAAGACAACGGTAGATTGTGTGAATCACATTGTTGAGGTTGTGAAAAATCGAGCACCGCGGGATTAAACAAAGCTCAACGTTATGACAATGAGAAAGACTTTCAATATTTGGATCTTAATTCCGTGTTGGAAATTTTCTTTAAAAAATTGAATGGTTTACAAAAATTGTATTTGAAGCAGCCAAACCTGGTTAATTTATTGAAAACTAGAAAAGCAAGTATGTCTGAAATTACTGAAAAATTAAAATTTTTTCTATTTTGGTTCTAACTCCGCCTCCTTTGGATTACAAAAGACAAAAGTATCTTTATCACCATATTCCTGATTCGTCCATTTGTCAGAGATGAATTTAGAGACATAAGTTGTCCCAAACCAATCTATACTGATAATGAATAAAAATATTTCAGTCAACCGCAAATTTTATTACTTTATTAGTTTTTGTTTGTTTAAATTCTTAATAATTTAATCTTTTAATATTAAAATATAATAAAATCATGACGAACCAAAACAATATTTTAACCAAAGAGGAAATAAAAGAGCTAATTGGTAATTTAAACCGAAATTCAAGTGAAGCAGATATAAGTAATAAGAGCAGTTAAAATTTATTTTTGACTTTTGCCCCCAACGTTTACAGTATTTAGGAGATAAAAAATTTAAAACTAAGAAAAAATTAGTATTAGCACAAAAGTTAATGTAATTAAAGCCGCAATAAGCTTTGCAAACACATCTTCGGTATAGATTTCCTTATTATTGACAAACTCGTGGAATAAATCCGTAACCTTGATCATCACGGTCTTGGAAAATGCTATATAAGTAACAGTGTCATAGGGCCTAATGGTAGTATCACCCCTGGCCGTAGTCGGAGAGCCTGAAAAAGTTAAGGAAAAAGAACAAAAATTCCAAGCCTATATCTTACAACAGTTTAAAACACATGTTTTGAAACAATAATTATGAAATTGGAATATAGAATTCTTGAGGTAGCAGAAGGAAATAATAATAAACAAGATTGTAATTATTGCTCGTTCAGTTTTCGGGATTTTCGTTTTAAAGAAAATATTACTCTCAACATTGCTACTCACCAAGTAGCAGCATTCAAAAATAATGGTAATTATCTCATATTTGTTGCTGAATGTAAAAAGGATTTTGAAAATGATACTCTTCCTTACTGTGAACTTTGTGGTAGACTAAAGAGAAATAGGAAAGGTTGCTTTTGTAATCTGTTAGAGAATAAACCAATACAGTCACTTTCTACGGAAGAAACAACATCAAGAACTTTTGGTTATCGTTTAGAAAAAAAAATCCACCACTAGAGAAGAGTTAAACATTGACAGAGAAGAAGTAACGAAAAATCCAAAAAATGAGGTGATGAGAAATATCAAGTGGATTAAACAGAGAACACTAAGTTAAAAGAAGAAAATAACAATTAAAGGAGCAACAAAATAGTCAAATTGCTCAAATTGATGTTAAAGCCCCTAAGAAATGACCTTGATTGAAAGTAAAAAAGTAATTTAAATTTCATAAGTAATTTTTTCTTGATATAGAGAGTTTGAGTATTATTGATTTAAAAATATAAGGCACAATTTTTTCTCCTTGAGCTTTCTTTAAATACTTTTAATGGTACTGTAATAGTAATTCTTGGGTTTCATGGTGAATTTAATGTAAATTAGTTCCACATTAATATTTTTTATATAGAGGTAGTTCTATATATATTAATCCTGTTATGGTTTATATTCCTCACATTCTGGTATGATAAGGGGAACATTAAAATTTACAAGTTTATAAGTTATGAATGAACACCATTTCTCCATTAAAATGTCATCAGGTACACTGGTCAATTTTACAGCCACATAATCATAAATGTTCACTTTGTCTGGTTTTGTTGCAGCATGCCCCATATTAATATATACTCTTGCTGCCTGCGAAGCATTCGATAGTTCATCTACTTCAAACGCAATTCTACACATTTTTACCTGACTCCTTCCAACAAACGCTACGACCCACACGTATTAATCTTCCACAAAATAATCGGTTACTAAATCTCATCGCTTTAGCTCAATTCACGACTCTCCCAAATAATATAATTTAGCTTGCACTTATCGAATCAGAAAAAAAAACCTATTGAATGTCGTGCTATGATGGACAGAGTAGTGAACAAGCTTTATACATTATTTAATAGCTTATTATTATGGTTATTGCAAATCTAATTGAGTATCTCTTCTCATATTTAGCTTATTTCCACAAATTGATTAACATTTTTAATTTTATCAAAAATAAAATTCCATTCCCTCTACTATAACTTTCCACAACTTTTGGATACGCTTTTCTCCATTATATTTTGGCCAAACGTCATAAATTTTAAGGCTATACTATTAGCAGATCGTAGTACTAATGAAACGTCACTTATAGCTCAAGCATTCAGTCTTAATTGAACTGTCCATCAGTATCAGCTGAACCGCCTACCCTCGCTATTACGCTGACCGCAAGGTTTAGTATCTTTGACAAGCGTAAAATTTGTTGTCGCTTCACGATCATAGGACAAGACAACTTGTAAATTTAACGAGCCGCAGCAATTTTTTCCATAAATTTCAGGGGTCTCTTAACTGCTTTGACGTGATTGGCCAGAAAATTTTGTAGAAAAGTTTGGGAATGGAAACTGTGTTCAACCTCTTTCATCGTTGGCGAACCGAAGACAAAAACGGTACCATCCATCCATCAATCCACCCCTAGCATCTAATATAATTTAAAGATGGTCAGAATTTCGGTTTTGGTAGGTTTAGACTTTTATCATAATCGATAAAATTTGGCTTCTGTGGATAACTGGGGAGTCTGCTTTACAATTCAGAAAATAGTTGTTCGAGTCTTTTGTTGATCCTAGTCTTTATTCAAGTTGTTACTTGATCCATTAGTTTCCACAAGATTTGTACTAATTTTATGTCATTAAATAGAACGATTGCCTCAAAAATATCGTCAATGCAGAAAAACGTGGCAAGAGGCAAGTGCTTGTAAGACCTTCCTCCAAGGTCGTAACTAGATTCTTGCTCGTAATGCAAAAGCACGGTACGTTCTTGATTTGTCTAATCGTGATTTGTCTTATTATCGAAGTTATAACTGGACGTTAGTCGTATTTCCTCCGACTCTCGTTTTTTAAGGCTTCGAGAGAGTCATAATCAACGAAGTCAAGAAGTCTGCCGAATTATGGCTATATTCAGTGCAGGATATAGTGCTTCGCTAACATATTACGTACATATTTTAATGTATTCATAATTTTTGGTTCTATGCACAGGTTATATTGGTGAATTTGAAGAAATTGATGACCATCGTTCTGGTAAAATTGTTATTCAATTGACCGGTCGATTGAATAAGTGTGGAGCAATCTCACCACGCTTTGACGTTCAATTGGATGAACTCGAGAAACTAGTGAACAATCTTTTGCCATCTCGTCAGTTTGGATATGTAGTACTAACCACAAGTGCTGGCATCATGGACCATCAAGAGGCAAGAAGGAAACACACGGGTGGAAAGATTCTCGGTGAGCTAATAGCTAATAATTCGTTATATGATGTTCAATTCTTCTCTCTAACATTAACATCGAATGTCACTATATACAGGTTTCTTCTATTGAATAGAATAAAATGTTTTCACTGTTCCCCTTATAATATGTTGTATAATGTACGTGGAATGTTAATAAATTGGATAGGAATGATCACCCAAAGGTCTCTCAGTCACGGATGATAGAACAAATACAGGCCGTTGCCTTGCTTAGGACAAAGAGAAAATTTCCAATCTTACTTCCAGTCAAAAATATCATGTAGCTCTCCTTTTATTCACGCCTACAAATTAATTCTCAAACTGCCAAGGTATTGAAATAGATCATGGGCCAAGACATTAAAAAATAAATACAATACTGATATCTATATCATTAAATTGTATACACATTCCCCTCCAAAAAGTGACTCAAACTACTTGTATCCGTCAATAACGCTACCCCCTTTGCCATATCCTCAGTTAATCAAAAAGTCACATCCTAGACACATAACTACTGCGCTCTCATTTTCAATTCCACACACAGGACAAGTCCACAACGTGTCGGGTATTGATATCGGTGGTGACGTTGACGATGATGGAATGGAAGAGCCCCGTCGAGTCAGACATGCTCGACAGTTGAGAAACGAATCTTGGTTAACTAGCGTACAAACCAAACACGTCCACGGGCTCGGATGTGAAGAAGAAGATGACGAAGAAAAAGCTCCTGGAATTTTGTCATCGGGAATGCGAACAGTGCGTAAGTGTTTAGGTATTGGTTCAACGACTTTGGTAGTGTTATTACTACCCCCGCTCACATTGCTATCATCGCGAATATTACTTTTTACCGATTCGTGCTCGTTGATTTTTCCCTTATCATTATCATTACTCCAACACCATATCTCATCCCTCAATCTTCTCTCTGCCGCATCCGCTGCCAAGTCTCTCAAACTCCTTTCCATTCCTTCCGTCCCACCGCCACCACCATTACCGCCACCAACCGTCCTTCCACCACTGTACATAATTCCTCTGACTCCAACACGTGTTTCGGCTGCTTCAAGCATCCTTCTTCGTGCTTCATGATATGATACATTATGTGACGCACCTGCGCTGAGGGAGTATGGTTTTGAAAAGAAACCGTCTCCGGTGTAACCCTGAGCAAGAAGAACGTAATACTCGGAATGTAATTTGTCTAGTTGAGCGTAGAATTTTGCGTCATGTGGGCCATAAATTATATGTGTCAGTCTTTTATAAAGTAGACAAGTTGGGAGAAGGGGAAATGAGGAGAATGGAAAAGGAAAAAAGCGTCAGTTGGTGTGTACGTAGAGCAGCCATAGGTAACTAGAGCAGATAAAGCATTACGCGTGGAAAAATCAAAGATACTCTTTTGCTACCGCTACCAATCAATGCAAACAAGTAGAAAAATGGCATCCTTACTCGTGGAGCATGGTCCCCACTAGACTCTCGAAATCAATAAACGAATTCTCGTTACCCGGTCGTCGAAGTCTGATTTTTATTATTTTTCCGTAATCAACATTAAGACCTGATTTGATGTAATTAATAGTCTTTGGAAGCTCGTAAACTTGCTCTCTTGATAACGAGTATAAGCTATAGCAATACGCGTAGCCAACGTAATGTAATGCGAATATACTACTCACCAAGCAAACCCGGTTCTACAGGATTAAACTCTTCCAAACGGCCTACACGCCAAGAATGGCTTTTCATTATTGGCTTTACCTGGGAATCGCGACCATTTGTTTAGTCATGTTTCAGTTCGAGAGGCGTATAATCGTGTTCTGACAGGTCTAGGCTAATTGCGTTCGGCCAAGGCACACACCTGTGACGCAATGCGTTTCAGCAAATTCATGGCTTCTCCATGGTTCTTGTATTTTGTAAGGGCTTTATATGAACCCACAAGATCAGAATTGCTCGTAGACATATGAAATGTACGTGAATATAGCGTATGTTTATGTATTACGGGAGAATAAGCTGGTTTTACGAATACAAGAGAGCGGGTGACGACGGGACAACTATGACAAAGAGCGGACGGAGACCCAACATTTAAATCCCGAACAGTTGGGATTACGTAACTGCCATAGTTGGACACAATACGTAAGCTTCCCAAAGGAGCAAATCGAGTATATGCTAGAATCAATTTCACCCGTTTGACTTGTTTATTTGATTGATACATAATCTTATCTTTTTTTTTCCATACAGGCAATTGTTCCAATCGTTTCATGACGACTCAATCTCCTTAGTTGTTTTCTTTCCATGCGTCATTCCAAAGAAGAAAAAAAAAAGTCCAGAGGATATATATATATATATATAAAGATGTTATTGATACATATAGACTATAATTATTTACAAGCAATTGAGAGGGGAAGAGAGAATGACGAATGAAAAAAGTGGGAAATCTTGAGAATTGATTTAATGCATAAATAAGAAAATAGTCAAAGGGGATAAAAAGTTTTGTTTTCTTTTTACAATACAAGTTGGCGAAATATGGGAAATGCGGAAATAGCTTGTAGTCTTTCATTGATATATATATGAAAGAGGTATCTTAAGTGGTATTACTTGTCATTTGTTCACATATTGCCTCTTCCCCCTTCTATGAACTAATTTAATGCTGACCCTTCTTCAAACTCTCTCCTCTACTACTGCAACTATGACACTAATATCATCCACCTTCCCGCCAGTATAATAGAATGCCTCCCGCGAAGCTCTGCTCTCGAATGGACTGCTACATTCCAGGTCTTGACTAGTTCCTTTTGCTCGAAACGCCAGCGATTCAGCTAGAACCTGTGGACTTATAGGTGATGCTGTCGCGTTCCGTTTTCCCTTCATAGAGCGTTTAACCTCCTCGACAATATCTTCGTCAAACAGGTTATCGAATATCCCGTCTGATCCAACAATTATTATGTCTCCTCTAACAACTTTTACAACAAACACTTGGGCGTCACGCGGTGCATCTGAAGAACCGGTTCCAAGCTGGAATGGGTAGTTGAAAGAATGTTGCTGTTCTTCGTTGCGGAAGATTATGTTTTGATTGCGGATTATGCAAATTCCACAATCGCCCAGGTTGGCAATTCGCAATTCATCGTTACGTAAAACTGCTATAAGAGCTGTTGTTGAGCCTACTATTCGCTACAGATGATGGGCAGGAGAGTAAGAGAGTAAGTATGTATACAGATATATGGATGGACAAGTATAGTATGACCAACCCAAATGAAATCGTTCCCATTACGATCACTTATTCGACTACTCACCTCTAGAGCGCATTGACGCATAGTCTGTTCGTAACTCGTTTGGAGCACTTGTTTCGGATCCACATTGTCATGACTGTCCTTTTCTGCGTTATCATACTTTTCCAGTTCAACATAGGCACTATGCATCAGCTTTCTTGATAACAAGGCAGGATCTGGTCTTGTCGCTCCTCGCGATTCATGCCTTCCCCATGCGCTTACACCATCTGCCACGCCCAATGAATCATGTCTCGTGAACCAATTATCTTCTCCACAACCAACAGAATGGTACTTTCCGTCGCTGATGGTTATTAGTTGTGAGGATTGCTTGGGGATTCCAGCTGCACCTGATACTAGCGTATATGATCTGTGCGCAGCAAAACTTTGGTAACAACTGATTTCGGGAATTAATGGACCGGTGGAAGGCTCACGAACAACCTCAAGAAAATGTGAAGGAACTGTTGAATGGGGTTTGCGGTGTACGGAAGACGAGTGAATGGTACGTTTGAGGGAAGCAGAGACTATGCGGGAGGAAGGAAACGTGTATGAGGAAGAAGAGACGGTTACGGGGATGTGCAGAGAGGTAGTCTTGGGAAACGAATTAACACCTTGTGTGGTGTAATTGTGGGTCGTGTTCAGTGAAGTTCCAAGTGATCCGATACACCTTCCGTTTCGGAGCCCATGTCTGTTTCCTTGTTTGATGTGATGTATCGAGAATGATAGACGTTTCGGAGTTAAGCGTGCGAGGCGGGAGGTGAATTGTGTAGTATTAATCATAGGTTTTAGAAGGGCAATTGAACAGGTTTGGGGTTTAAATATACGCGTAGGGTATGATTTGAACAACAATGATTGGTTTGAGCCCAGAATGGAAAAACAAAATTATTATAAATGTTTGGCATTCAAAGATAAAGGGAGAGATTTTCGCAATGGGGAAAGGATTACAATGATAAGATAAGTGGGAAGGGGTGGGGGTGGGGGACGATAATACAAGTCTATGTATGTATTGCCAATTCCGTCTATGTTTGTTATTTCGCTGTTTATTCCCAATGCTTTGTCTATCTGTTATATCTATTATTCGGCAACAGTTCTAATTGAAGGAGGATGTTCAAACAGCGTGTATGTATATTATGCTTGTGCTGGGGTAAGTTCAGTGTGTGGGTGATTTTTTTGTAAAAAGGAATCAAAATTGGCGTTTTGCTGTACGGACGAGACGATTTAAATATTTCGCTATCTACGGATCAATTGATCAATATATAGTATTGCAATATATTTGTTATTATATTTTATTTATACACAACATACATCATTATTATTACGTTGTCCCTGTGATTGTTTTCTCGAGTAGATATATTAGATTAACAAAATGTGTGAGTAGGTAAGCATTTTTTGGGGATGTTGTCGAGAGATTATTAGTCTTGCCTGATATGGCGAATGATCATCAAGTTAATGTTATCAAGTCACTATCGGAATTATCAACTCATTATCGCTGTTGTGCAATCGTGGTGAGAATAAGAGATGAATGTTTGGGTGTGATCTGTTCAATAATATCAATGTATTATTAATTATACAGGTCACATGTAATGAAATAGGTACCCATCGTTTTGCCTTATCAACTCCCCAAATCTCTATTGTGTAAGGGCGTTTGACTCCCCCCAAATCTCATATACGCATCGATGGATTGGGTATCTTTTACGTTATTATTGATTTACAACCCAGTGACGCATCTTCCATGTTACGAAACAAACCCCGATATTTGACGTTTTATATTCCGGCTTTTTTTTTCTTTTCGAATGTTCAAAGACTCTTTGACTGCGGCTACTGAAAAGGTTGTGCTTGGTACCGGAGAAATCCGCCGGCACGATCGTGGGAACGGCTGGCAAACCAAACATGCTTAAAGTTGCGCCATACTGCGCAGTAAAATTAAGGGGAAAGGGGAATGCTCGTTTGGTCATCAACCATGGTAACTTTCACGCACACAACTGACATGAGAGCTGAAAGCACAGTTTCGATTGAAGAAAAATCTTAATATTTATTGTATATATTACTATGTCAACAATACTGCGCAAGTAATTTGTGTGGGAGTATTAAATATAGTGTCACAGAATCGGCAGCGTAAATTTTGGCATTTTATCTAAATGCAGTTATTTCATGCATGCAGAAATCACTCTCAAGGCTTTAGTCTGACGTTCCTAATTAGTATGATGACAATTGCAAGTCGAGTAGAGAGGGAGAGGGAGAGGGAGAGGGAGAGGGAGAGGGAAATGGAGGGGGAGAGCTATTCATGGCAAGTGGATGAGAAGAGTATAACAATAAGTAAGCACATACATAATACGTACATTCATATTATTACCTGTACATTCACACATTCATATACATAATACATCCATGCATGCATGCATGCAGATACATACACATACAATAACTGCGCGCGTTTGTGTCGCAGATTACTTTGATATCGATATTGCCAGATTTTAATCCGCTTATATACAAGTATAAAAAAAAAAGACAAAGCCAATCAAAGCAAAGCGTAATTTGGCTGAATTTTTTGCTTTGTTCTAATTAGAAGCAGATCGTAATTTACATTCTGGTCTTAGTAATATGTGATTCATAATGCAGAACAGATTAACCGACAAGAGATTAAAGCGATATCATCAATCTATACAATGACTCGATATTCCCTCGGGTTTGGCTTTTCTTTTTTAGCAGGTTGATTTACGTCCGAAATTTACTAGAGCAAATACGTGGGAAGTGAAAACTCGAGATTTAGAGCCTTGGCGAATATTACATATTTTGCTGGGTCGCCTATTCTTTTTTTATTCACCATTTTGCGACAATGCATTGACAGGCTTTTCCTTTGCATCATTCACGGTTTTCAGTTGTTACATCGTAAATGAAAAAATTCCAAGTTTAAACCTCAGCCCTTTTTATTAATACTTTTTTGATTTGTGGCAAAATCTCTTAAAATGGGTTGATTGTGATATTACTATATTAGGTTCCATAAATTGAAACAAGGAACATCGCAACCCCCGTTTTTGCAAAAAGAGGGTCTGCCGAACATTTATCAAATGTTCCAGTCATTTAAAAAACGCTTGCTTAAATCAAAATACTAAAGGCACCGAACATGATTTTGGGGTTCAAAGCAGATTGTTCGTGTCACCCTATTTTAGATGATGACAACATCGCAATCAAGACCACAAGTCTAGCTTTATCAATTAATTCGTGAATTTATGTTTTTATTATTAATAATAAATTACCACTTTTACGAGTACAATAACAAGTGATGAAGGCATCAGAACAATAATCAATGGATTGACTTTTTTTCCCATATCATTGCAACTCAATTCATTAGTTTGGTACATCTTCTTTACATTACCAATTTCCCTTTCTGCGTTTTTATTATGCATGTCAATAGAAATCTTGGATTCAATCCAATTCTTTTAGGCACATATTCTTTATATCTTTTCAACGTTTGAAGGTACATTTTCACCTTCATTACAACCAACAACCTCCTCTTGAAAAACATTATCTCAAATGTCCGTATCAGTTCCGGGAATTCTCAAAACATAAGCACTGACCGGATCAATATGTATGTCCACCAATTGACATATGACATATCAGATGAATCATATGATAAGTCATATGGTATCTCTATTCTTACGATCTGGGAGTACACATTTTCTATCTTAGTCGTACAGAAATTTGCGCTGACATCTGTGCCGCGTAAGGTTATAATACGAGTCGTTTTTCTATTGTCAATCGATAGTTGATAGAAATTGTCACCGAATTTAAAGTAACCTTATCACATTTCAGTTGTGTAAACAGTACGCGCGTGAATAAAGTGACGATCTTGATTGTGTAAACGTTGCGATAATAAGCACCAAAATTATTCCTTCTCCTGATGTGTGAATAGGTCTACGTCTTCAAACTTAACAACAGCATAATTAACTAAGTGAGCTGGCCTTAGAAGACACTTTATTATTTTAATTTACAGTGAAAATAATTGCGTCGGCGATTGTTTCATAGCCAATATTAAACATTGCCTTCACATCTTCAAATCAAATTTCTTCTGTAGCTCATCGTCACTTCAATAAAAACATATTTATAGAACATTTATATTCTTTTCCCTGGTAATCGTACTGTAGAGCGATGATTTCTCTATTATGAATGATCGATCTTGTCCATCAATTTGCTCGAG